AAAAAAAAAAAAAAAAAAAAAAAAAAAAAAAAAAAAAACACACCACACAACAGGTACTCCAGAGGGCAGCAATTCCATCAGGGCTCTGCTTAGCGGGGCGGCTGCGAAGGCTCTCAGTCTTCATCAGAGAGCGCCAAGTCCTCCACCACGTCCTCCTCTCCTTGCGCCAGCTGCTCGAGGTCGGCTCGCGACACCCTCTGCGCCCGCGGGCCCCGGGGACCCCGCGCGGCCTCCCCTGTGCGTGGAGAGAGAGGCGTAAATCCGCCGCTGCTGGGAGAGAGTGAGGCAGGTGCAGGCAGCTCCTTGCTAATTAATCCCAGACACTCATTAATTTCTCGGCGCCGCTGCCGCGCCGAGCGCTGCGGGATGCGCAGGGAAGCTCCCGCGGAGCCGTTGTGCCCCGGGCAAAACGGGGAGCGCTGCAGGGCAGGGGGCCAGGGGCTGGTGCGGAGCTGCGGGGCCGCCCCGCGAGCGGCGCCTGCGGCAGGGCGGGCAGCAGCCTCTGCCCGGCGCTGCAACGATGCTCGTGTGGAACAGGGGGCTGTGCGGAGCGGGCAGGAGCCGCAGGAGGGACGAGGGGCCGGGAGGACGGCTGAGGAAGGGCCCTGGAGCAGGAGCAGCCCTCCCGGCGCGGCAGCTTCCCGCCCTGGCTCCGTATCCATGCTCCAAGGGGCTCTGCTCCCCAGCACGGCGGGCAGGAGGTGCCACGAGGGAGCCTGGCACCAGGGGGACCAGAACGTGGCCGGGGAGCCTGCGTGAGGGGAAGGGCACACCGGGCTCGGGCACCCTTCCAGGCAGCCCGGGGTGGCACAGCTGGCACCGGGGCAGCGTTTCAGGCAGCTGCCGCCTCCCTGGAAGCCGCCGCTGCTGCCCCCCGCTCCCCTTCCCGCAACGCGGCCACTGCCCTGCTCACCCTCTGAGTCGCTGTCTTCCCATTCGTCGTCGTCCTCCTCCTCAACTTCGTACTCTCCCTCCTCCTCGTCGTCTTCCTCCTCCTCGCTGCTCTCTTCAGCGCTGCTGTCAGCTGGACTCGCCTTCGCTCCTGCCGCCTTCGTGGCCTTGGCTTTACCTGTAATTGGGTTTACCAAGTAAATGGCATTGCAGGGAGCAGCAGGCAGGCAGCGAACACGGAGGACCCAGTGTCTCTGTGCCCATGCTCACACCAAGGGGAAACTCAGCAGCTTTTCCAGGATTCCTGGCTGCAGGAGCCAATCCCAGCGCCGCAGCAGGGCCTGGACGCTCCACCTCATGCAGGGTCTTGGTGCACATTCCAGGGAGTTGGTGCACATCCTCAGTACCCTCCTCTTCCTCACGCCGCAGCAGGAGCTGGGCCACGTTAGTCCAGCAGCAAACGGCAGCGTCTGACCCTTCCTTCCACGTTCCTGCCCCCCAATCCTGGCATTAACCTGCTCTAACATGATTCCATGCAGGAGAAGGGAAGGAAGCCGTTCAAGCTCATTAGAGGCACCTGCTATGGACACATCCCTCATCACACACAGACCCAGCCAGGCGCTGCGGCCTCCCCTGCCCGCCTTTAATTGCCTCATGACAAGGCAGGCCCAGCACCTCTTCCCAAGCCATTAATAATTTCCAGGAGCCGCTGCCTTTCCCGCCCGGAGAGCTCAGCTGGTAAATGAGGGGAATGCAGGAACTTCCCCTCCGCCACGTATGGATTGAGCGAATCCACCCGCTCTGCAGCAGCCCCTGCCTTTCCCATGCTCGTTCCTGAAATGTGCTGAGCTTCTGGCTCCAGCCCTTAAAGCTGTGCATTATCCCGCACAAGACAGCCCTAAAAATACCCCAAAGTGCCCGCACCCACACAGCTTGTGGCCTGAACCACGAAGAAAAACATGGGACCTAAGTGGGACAAGCAGGCAGCAAAGAGGCTTGGTGCTGATGGACCCACACTGGAATTACAGCTGCATTCCACAGAGATTCCTCCATTAATAGATCCCACAAGGCCTGAGAAGCAAGAATGGACACTCGCCTGGATAGGAGGTGTTTTGCTATCGAGGCTCTGGGTCCTACTGCTAGTGCTGAAGTCGTGGTTACGACTGGCCAAGGATGTTAGGGAAGACCTTGCTGTTATTGCTGGTTGCTGCACGGGAAGAGGCTGCTGTGTGGAAGGCAGAGTGGCTGAGCAGGGTTTTGGTTGCTGTGAGCTCTGCCCCGCGTTAAGGAGCGGGGCTGGGGCTGCTCCTCGAGGTAGATGCCCTGCAGAAAACACCCTGCTACCAATGAAGGCTGCAGAGGCCATTCCTGACAACGCGCCTCTGTTTCTGTGCTAATTCCCAGGATTTACTCTCACACCTCGCAACCTGTGCGCGACAGACCAGGGCTCCACCTGCACACCAAGTCTCCCACTAAACAGGAAAGCCCTACATTCCTACACGGCTTGCTGGGAGGATTTGGAAAGCCTGTAGTATCTCATAAACTTCCAATTACAGAGACACCATGGAAGTTTTCCTCCAAGCCACACGGAGAACTTTTTAGGGAGATTCCACAATTTACTGTGGCCCCCTCGTGGTCACAGCCTGGGAGGGACATCACTCATTTCTTCCCAGATCCCTACCTTTCTCGGCCCATCAGGAATACTTACAAATAAATAAGTCAAAACTGTATGCACTGAAGGGACATTTCTCATCCAGCTAAGATCCCTCTAGCCAGCCCCAGTGATAGCCACTGTCTGCAGTAACTTGTGCCATGATCCTGGTATGGCATCGGGTAGAAAAACTTCCTTATTCCTACTCTATAGGTAGGAAATCTAACGTGCATTTCTTCAGCTGCACTCCCTGCTGGAAAGGATGGCAAACACCTCAGTTCTCCAAGGTCAGGGCAGAAAACGCACCAGCTATGAGCACAGGGAGAACTCACTCCTTGGAGAATCACGGTATAGACTGCAGCTACCTCTGAGGCCTCCAAGAACAGGCTCCAGTTTGGCCACATATTCCCTAGCCGGGGTCAGTGTCTGCGACAACAGGAAGGTGCTGAAGGGGAGGAGAGGGCCATGGAGGGGCACAAAAACCAGTGCAGGCTTTAAAATGAGCTGCAGTGACCGAAGAGAAAGAGGAGAGACACCTGAGCAAGGAGAACATGTGCCCAGCCCCATACCTTTCACAGGGAATCCAACACTTTCCTCTTCAGAGTCGCTCTCCAGCTCAAAGAGCTCCTTGAATTCCTTCTTATCTTCCTCCTTCTTTTCATCGTGCTTCTTACGTTTAATTTCTGGGAAGTTCAAGTCTTCCAGCTAGGAAAAACACAAACGAAGCAGCAGTTAGAACAAGCTTAGCTTGTGCTTTTAAACATACATTGCTGAGCTTAAACACGGGGCTTAGTTTTGCTCTGTATGTGCAGGCCACATGACCAAGAGGTTGTATCTGGCTCTTGCCAAGTAGGGGGACCAAGAGACACATCTGTGAGTCAGTTATAAAGGTGAATGATGTGTGCAAAGCACCACTGATCTTTACCCAATTAACTGCTTTTGCTAATGACATGCCAACCCCTGCTAGCATGCCATGGATAAAAATGCAAGAAATGCACCAAACTGTGCGTGCAGACTGTGCTGGCCACCACTGAAGGAGTAGCACTGCCCTGGTGCCGAAATCTGTGGCACCTCCAACCTTCTGTTTGGCTGCACATTTCAGCCCAGTTACATTACAAGGGGTTGAAGGTGCTTAAGCCAGGCCTACCCCCCAGCCTGGATGTTCACCAGCCCCCATGGAGCACAGCGAGCTGAGCCTGACCCAACGCAGCCCCAACGTAGACCCAACGTCTATGGGTCTATGTCATCAAGCCTAGATTGCAATGCCATCAAGCACTTGCAGTAGACACCACCTCGCTGCTCCGGGCATCCGGGCAGGATTTCCTTGCAAGGCCTCATGCCAAGGATCATTGGGATGCAAATTAAAGCCTGGGTGCGCTCCGCACTGCGTGCCTGGCCGCTCTCCTCCTGGGAAGTGCTCCCATTAGCACCCATTAGGCTGCTTGGAACCATTCGCCCCGCAACTAATAGTCATTTGCTGCCTCCCGACCATCAAGCCCAGTCCTCGCTGCCCTCCTCTCCCTGCTGGGAGCTTCCCCCTGCACACAGGGAGGCAACTCTGGGCAGCACCCGCTGCTCCCACAGCCAATTCCTGCCATTTCTCCCACCTCTTTTCATGGTTACGGGCCCCAGCTGGGCCCTATTGATCCTGGGAGCCGGGTACTTGCAAGCAAAAAGCTGCAGCATGAGGATGGAGAGTCCAGAGAAGGGGAGAGGGGAGCAAAGCACCAACTCCCGTTCGCAGGCTCCTAATTTTAAACCATTTTCCCACCTGCTCTAGGCTCCTATGCAAGATCTTTCCTCCCTGCCAAGCTCTTTCTGTGCCTGGAAGACATGTGAAGAAATCAGCACACGAGAGGCTCTGCAAACAGCAGCCTTTGCATGCCAGGGAAGAGACCCAGGAGGATCTTATTCTCCCTTCTCACTCACCCAGAGTGTAGGATAATTTCAGGGAATTTATCACTTGGTATGTTTTAAAATGGAAAATGCAGATACATGTGAGCAAAATGCCCTGTGCACAGAGGTGTAAGGGTCCAACTTTTTCAAGGAAGTGCAGAGGGGACATTTCCATCAACACTGTGGAAATACTTGCTCAGGACACATGTACAGCAGGTAGCACAGACTGTTATTTGGAATGTCTTAGGCATCAGGCACTATGAAAATAAAAACATGAGTCCTCATTTCCAAAAGCAGTTGGTTCTGGGTGACATTAGCCCCACTTGAGCCCAACCTAAGCCTACTAGAGAGGGGTTGAATCATCCTGAGAGGGGTAACCAACAGGACCCAACCCTCCAGTCGAGGGACTCAAGCTAAAGACACTAAGAACCCCTACCAAGCAAAGGAATGAGGGTCTGCATCCTCAGACACAGCCCGTGTTCATCAAACAGGAGCAGGGAATTGCTAATTTGGAGGCCAGTCTTTAATCCCCAGCTACGGGGTTAATATCTACAGAGTCTCCTGAAGCCGATTAATCTGCATCCCATTAAGAACCCTTGGGAAAAGCAAATGGGACAGGCAGAAGGGCCCGTGTTGTTACATAGGCAAGTTCCATAGCAGCTGATGTATTTTTTTGTTATGATTTTCTCCACGAAATGGCTGCTAATAGGCCATAGATTTTCCCAGCCCTAATGGGCCTCACGGTGCTCGCTCTCCTGCTGCTCTGCTCTCACAATGCTGCAGTATTAAGCTGCAAAGGCAACAGCCCCACTCACCAAGCAGGGACGCTGGACAGCCACGTGTCTTTCCAAAAGCTAACTCCCAAATCCACCTCTCCCTATAGTTTCTGTCTTCAAGCCACTTCCTCCAGGAGCAAACAAGTCTCAGCCTACCCCTGAGGGGTAGGGGGGAATAATCTTCTCAAACCCCCTAAACTAAAGGAATCGCCCCAAATGGGAGCTCTCTACCTCCATTTGTCCCTGCTACTCCAGGGAGCTCCAACTCCTCCCTTTAACATGGGGCTGGTCTACAGAAAAGGTTCATCTCCCTCCTTGCAATCGATGCTTCAGCACCAAAAGCTCCTAAAAGCAGGGTCACTTTGGGGAAAGGAGTCAGCCCCACTCGTAACAACCTCCTTTTCTGCTGGTTCTTAGCCCCACTGGGGTAACTGTTGCTGCAAAGGCCACATTCTCCAGCTGGGTCTGCAGAGCAAAAAAAAGGTCTCCGGCTGGTAGGCAGTTCCGAGCACATCCTAGGATATCCTATGTCTTCCACCACGCTCTGGGACTTGGCCCGGAGCCAACCACCCTAATGTCCCATTGATTATTTTAATTGTTCTCCACCATATGCTGGAAACACCAATTATATCTATTTCCTGCTCCTGGCCAACAGCCTGGCTCGGCTACTTTCGTTAAATTAGCCCTGAGCCAGCTTTCCTTGGGGCTCCTCACTTAGGAAAGCTCCCAGCTTTTGCATCCTGGAGCACAGTGCTAAGGGGAATGGCCAGGAATAGCCACACAGGAGGTGTGGGAAATGGCAACCTCAACGTTTCCATCCAGGCGGCAATTCCCAACCAGCCATTTGTAAGAGTGGAACAAAAAACTGCTCAGCAAAACCCATCTCTGATATTGTCCTTGTTATAACGGATGCATTTTCCCCCCTCCCTTTCTTGGGAAGCTAGGCCTATGAAAGCGGGGATGAAGAGACAGAACAGGCCCGTGGGCAGTGTCTGAAATTCAGAACTGCATCACATACCTTTCCAAACTGGAAAACCTGCACTGACAGGACACAGGGACATGGATACTGCTCCTAGAGACCCCAGCAAGACAGACCTCAGGGAGCTGAAGACAGTGGCTGTGTCCCCCAGGCCCTATCCATGCTCCTTCAAAGACATGCAGCCCAAGCAGCTCAACCCAAGCTCATCTCCCAGCAGCGGGGCTGCTTTTGGCCACCCAGCAGCCTGCTGCTAAGGCCATGCTTTCCTTTCCTCCCATGGCACAGCTGAACATGTACTAAGTTGGTGGTTTCATTCTTACTCTTTCTTTGCCACTGATTTCCAGCTGTATTTCCTTCTCCCTTAGCTTCTTCCACTGAGTGTAATACTTGGTCAGAGGTGTCCCCTCTTCTTTGACCTGCTTCTCCCATTGCTCCTGCGTGGAAAGAGAGAATACAAATTTCGGCAAGGTGCTCAAAGCAGAAGTTTTGCAACACAAAATACAAAACCTAGAGAGAACTGGACCTATTGTCTGGATTACCAAAGTGCCCAGAGGCTTTGCACTAGCCCACAGTTAGAAAAAGTCCATCTAATGCAAGAAAAGTGACAGGATGTATGAGCTGGAACTGAAAAAGAAGGAAGGGAACAAGCAGCAAGAACAGAGATTAGCACAGATCCAGAAAGAGCCTCCAGAAGCCAGAGCTGGGAACAAATACACGGTGCTGTGTGGGCAGCTGGGGAGGTGGACGGGGACAAGGAGGAGCAAATCATCCCCAGACCCTACAGCTTAATAACACTCCTTAACAGAGCCCGAATCAGCTCTGCCTCTAGGCTGCCGAGCCTCAAAGCCAGGGGCCTCTCCTTGTTGTAGCCTGCGAGCCAAAGTGTGTGGAGAAGACTGTTCAGAGAGCAGTGCGTGAGGAATGGGATAGAGAGAGCAGAATAGGATAGGAAAGATCCTTGGGTTTCACAAAGAAGCAAGGAGTTGGTGAAGGCTGGCAAGCAGCACACACCAGTCTGCACCAGCTCTTGACCTGGCCCAAAACCAAGAGGGAAGAAGAGGCTCTGCAGCTGCAGGAGCTGAACTTTGTCCGTTGAAGGATGACCAGCCCGTGTCACTGCTCTCCAGTGGCAAGGAATCTATTTATCCCAGCGGCTCTGGCAGAACCCTCAGCTTCCCGCCGCTCCCACTCATCCCGCCCGGCACTTCCCAAGGAGGGTGAAGTCACCACGTGAACACGAGGCTTGGCCCAGGCTGCCAGCTGTCATCAATCTGGGTGTTGACGCTGCCAACAGCCTCCCAAGAAAGGCTTCAGAAGGTCAGAAGTCTATTTGGTTTGGGCAACTTTAGTTTTAAAGGGTGCTGGATCCACAGATCCGTCTCCTTCCCACTCTTCCCTGTTGAGCAGGGTCCAGTGCTAAGGAAGCTACAGCCAGAGTTGCTCATTTTGCTCCTGGATTCAACTTCAGCTGCATCTTCCCCTCCTCCTGGCTCCCCTCCACAGCCAACACCTAGGAGGGGCCATTCAACAGCCCCTGCACATTAAATACAACATCACACCCCACGCTCCCTGTAGCGCTGGGTCCAGTCTCCAGACTATTTCTTCCTCAAAATCATCTAATACAGACCCTTGGACCAAGTACAGCGTTCCTACAACGCTGCCACTCCTCGGTGATTGCAGAACCACTCACCCTCAGGACTGCTCTTCTCCCCATTTACAGCCAATCCCTCCTGCAAAAGCTGGATTTCAGTGCATTGCATGGAAGGACTAGCTCAGAATTTGGGCTCTGCTTCCTAGAGGAGAACCAGCAAAAACACAGGGATGCGAATACCAGAGAGCATTTGCTTTCAATTGCTCTTGCTGGCAAGGGCGACATGCAAATTCTTTTGGCCTCTTTTCTTCCTCTCCCCTCACTCCCCCTCTTCCCTTCCCTTTTCCGGCAGCGTTTGCTGATGGGAAGGGCCAACATCCCACATATGTTGCAGACAGCCTGGCAATCTCAGCCCAGACTTTTAGGGGCACTCGGAAACACTCTGCAAAGCGCTGCCTTTGCCAGGGCTTTGGAAACGAGCACCATCTGTTTGCAAAGGAGTGTCGGAAAATACATGGCGCCCGTGCCCAAGATCTGCTCCTTGGGCACAAAAAAATAAGCAGTCACTTCCATAGGGTGGAAAGGACGTGGAGAGGGGCCTGGATAGCACTTTGCACCATTGCTGTGTCCCCTTCAGCAGCTCAGGAGCAGTCCTGACAAAGCAGAGCCTGTCTCTCCCACCCTTCAATCCACATGAATCCATAATTCCAGCAGCAAGAGTCCCATCCAGAAGAGGATCTACCCATCCCAAAGACAAGCAAAACTTCATTAACCAGGTTTCCTTTGGGCTTCATTATTGCAGGGCCTGGATTTCAAATAGCTCCATTTAGCAGGTCAACAGGTTCCAGAAGAACGGAGCACGGCCAAAGAAAATGTTTTGAAGACATAAAATGGAATCTCTTGACACTATTTTACCCCATCTCTCTGAGGACTTGGCTTGGAGCAGGGAAAACAAAAGGCACTACCTCCCCTTGGGCACATTAGCAGACTGAAGAACCCATGTCACATCTCTCAAGCCTGAAAGACCCCGGCACAGGATTATATTGCCCTTCCCTGCCCTCATCTACCAGGCATTTCACAGGCAATTAGAACAGGTACCATTTCCAAGCCCTAAAAGGAGGGACTTTAACCCCTGCAGAAATACTATTTACAGATCACAGGCCAGGAAGCAGAGAGAACAGCAAGGGAGGGTTGTCCTTCTCCAGGTCCACGGTAATAACTTCCTTATGGGAAGACTCTGGAGCCCATTACCTCTTGGAATGACGTAAAGGGCAGCTCAACTCTGCTTGTTCCACGTGTAACCCACCCTTTTATAGAGGGTTTCTTGAGATACTTTAACCTTGCTCAACCCGTGTTGCCTTCTGCCATCCCAAAGATGGAATTGGCCTTAGATTCAGCTCAAACAGTCATTTCCCAAGGACATGTCCCAAAGGGAGGCACATCCACAGAGGTGTGAGTGTCAGAAACATCAGAAGAGGGTAATTTCTGGATTGTTTTCCATGAAGCTCTGCCTCCCGTTCAACACCAGCAACTGGAGCCTCACTGGCTTTCCAGGGAGCCCAAATCCAAGTACGGACTCACCACAGCCTCCCTGCGGGCCACGCCAAACGGCGCTTTCTGGCGCTTGCTGGAGATGTAGGCAGAGTTTTCCTGTAGCTTCTCCAGGAGCTGCCGCATGGGCTTGCAGTAGTTGGCAATCTTGCATTCCTTCAGGAAAGATTTTAGCTAGAAGGGGGAAAAAGAAGGAAAGCGATGGGATGGTTTCCATAAACAGATGCCCTCAGGAAAAATACATCGCCCACCCTCAGTGGCAGGAACATGGGGCGTCTTTTCCCTTCGATTTATTCTATACATTCCAATGTATCTCCCATATTCAACCGTGGAGGGTCCTGCTAGCCTGGGTTGAAAGGATGCAAAGAGCGGCAGTGACAGACCAGATGTTTGTACACAGCCTGAATTAAAACCCAGCTTTTTCAATCAATTTGAGTGCACTTCTTTCCGGCAGGACATCTCGAAAAGTCTCTGTTCCTCAGGGCTTCAGTTCCCACACTGAGATCAGGAATAACAGCGGGTACCTGGGGATGCTGGTCAGCCAAAAGCACAGGGAAGCCAAGACTGCAGTGGGAAAAGGTGTCTGCGGGTGAAATTTATAGCACGCTGGTGGATACTGAGGTGGGGATGCTGAATAGGTGACGCTGTTGACACTGAAGGGAGGGATTGAAGCAGAGATTGAGAAGGCAGCGAGACTGGCACAGACCGCGGGAGGCTGTGGGCTGGAGCGAAGGGTTTTTAGGGCTGCTGTGGGTCAGGACAGAAGCACCACAGAGTCAGCTGGGGTCATGTTTGCTTCGTGTCTGACCAAGCCAACCCCAACCGGCAATTCTCTTTTCTCAGGAGCGCAAACTCACAGTGCCACCACACAAAAACCTACGGATTTCCTGTGTGGAGCCTCGCACAACGTGTGCCTGGATAATTCCTCCTTGTAGACCCAAGGCCTTACAAGGAAGAGCCAGACTACCAGGAAACCACAAAATCCACTGTTATGTGACAGGGAAAGGGCATCCTACTCGCACAGAATTGGCCCCTGCAACATCTCTGAGCAGGATAAACACTTCCCTCCTCTCACACATTCAGCTTATTTCACTGCAAACAGATCAAGGGTGTTTTTTCTTTCACTTCAACAGTCTTATCCTCAGCAAGACCTTATTCTCCCCACCAAAAACATCTCCCTCCCAATGCAAACTACCCTCCAGCGTCACTGTACTGCTCCAAACCAGAAGTTCAGGCAGCAGCAGATACTCTTGCCGACAAAGAGAGCTGGGAATGTACAGGCTGATCCATTGCTTGAATGTTACTTTGGTCTCTACTAACACTTCCAAGGGTCTCCCGACAATTTTCTGGACAGCTCTCCAACTTTGGCAGGGCAGACTCTGTGCTGGTGCCAAATACACACTACACTGCACTTGCTTTACAGAAATAAACCTGAAAAAAAGGAAATGTTTAACCACAGCGGAGCCTTCCCCTCAACCGGGACCTGCTGATGCTATCAAGGCGCAGATAATGGCTTTTTAGACAGCAAATTCAGTCCTATCTTGTCTCCTTTTGGCTTTAAAAGTTCCACCTAAGAGGGAGCTCGGGGAAGGAGGAAGAGGTCTCCCCTCCCGTCAGGTCTGCACATTGGCTTGATCTTACCCGTCAATCGGGTGGTAATTAATGTTAATCCAGATGTGACACGCACAGCTGGCCCCTCTCAGCAGGGTGCTGCTCTGATGGGTGCTCTGCTGTGACCTGCTGCTCACTGCATGCGCACAGACCATCTACTATCCCTGAGCAGCAGGGGCCTCTCCATGTCCTTTATCCCCAAGATAGCTCCAGCCACACTCGTTCACTCCAAAAACCTGGGATAAAATAGACAACTTGGCTCTATTTCACAAAGCAAGCAGCCTATCAAATAAGTATAGAGAAACCATCAGCAAAACTATCCTGCTGCTAGTCAAATTTGTCCCATTCTCTCCCCCATTTTCTAAAATATTTATTTTTAGAGGCTGCATATTTATTTCTACTGAGGGATGCATTTGTCATTCAATTTCTCTCGCTCGAGCCCCACAGCTGCAGCCCCAGATCCATTTCATCCGCTGGCACATACATTATCATTTCTCTTTCATTGCAGAAGTGTCACCAGAAATCCTGCAAAAATCTCAGGCTCTATCTGTGCAGTTTGGTGCCGTGCGGTGGCTCTCGGCGCCGTCTGCTTCAGTTCTTCCTTCCCCCTCTTCCCCCCTGCAATCTCTCCCAGCCCTGCTGCTACCTGCCGTGGACGTTAACAAGAGGTAATGAGATCTCGGGCCTGTGTTAAGAGGCAAGGAACAAGCAAGAAGCCAAAAGAAGACAGATGAGAGAAGGACGAAGGGGCTTTGGGGTGTATTTGTCCACTCTGCCAAATATTACAATCGTACCTTTCCTGAATAAAAGCAATCAGAAGCGTGTGTATTTGTGCGGTCAAGACCCAGTGTCTGCTCCCAGCGAGGCAGCTCTGCGATCAGCGGGATTGATTCTGTTGACCCGCCAGCCTTAAACACCAATGGTTTATACCAGCAGAGACCACAGCAAAAGCCCAGCTCCTCTTACTGTAAATGACGCAGGGAGCTATAAATGATCTGGAGCAGCTGGCCTTTTGTGTTCCAGGGATCCTAAATCAACCCCAATGCTCCACTCACAAAAAAACAGAGTGAATGTTCAACTGGGAGCAGAGACCAGCAGCAGGAGCGGCTGCTGGCGCCAGGACCGGCACCTCCCGTCCTTCTGCCTGGCTCATGCCATCCCCTGCCTCCATCCAGCACTACCCTTGGCTGTGCTCACCGTCTCCCCTTTAACCTTCTACTCTGCTCTGTGATGCCAATTGTGTGTTGGGAGAGGAAGGAAAGGCTCCTCTGAGCATCCCGATGCCTGGGATCTGTGCTCCGAGCTCCTCCGCAGCCTGTGGAAAGAGCAGCCGCGGGGCCGTCCCAGACACTGGGCAGAGCAGCAGCCTTTGAACCTTCTCCCTCCCCTCCTGCCTCTGCTTTCCTTTGATCTGCCCTGGTGCTTCCTGCCTTCCAGGCAGGGAGGTTTTCGAGTGCAGTCTGAAGGCAGCTCAGCCTCGCTTCTCCGCAAGCCGCTGACCAGGAGACGAGGAATGCACCCCGCGCCAGCTGGAATCCAGCCCTCACAACGAGGCACCGGGAGAAGTGTGAGCTCATCGGGAGGGGAAGCAGCGGCACAGATGGATTTTTATAGTTAACTGGAACCATTCCAGGGGAAAAGCCTTCCCCCGCACGCTTCCCCGAAGACTTTTGTGATTTTGGGAAGCTAACCTCAGCACCCCGGCCCAGCAGACGCCACGAGGTCAGCGGCAGCCAAGCAGCAATCCGATAGCACTAATTCCCTGCAGGAACACCGGCTGGTCGCGGGGCGCGTTTGGAGGCCACGGGGAGCTCGGTGCCAGCGGGCGTGTTTCGCTGCAGCTAGAACATCGGCTCCGACAGCGTCGCTGCTCCCGACAGCTGCTGGCTGGGAGGGAAAGGCTCCGCGGAGCCGCGCGGAGCGCAGGGAGCGCCTGTCAGCTCGGATTAGCCAAGGCAGCGCCGTGCCAGGCTGCGGGGCCCCGGCCAAGAGCCGCGCGCCTGGCAGATGCTACAGCGGGAGGCAGGAAGGCGCGGATCCGCCTCCGGAGCAGCCGCGGGCGCCCACCGAGTCGCCGCTCCGCGACAACCGCAGACATCCTGGCAACGGGGTACGGAGACGGACAGGCCAACGGGGGATGGAGGTGAACGGGCCAAGGGGCTACGGAGATGGACAGGTTAAGGGCAGCAAAGCAAAGCAGGGAGGCGTGTGTTGAACAGAGTAGAGCAGCAACGTGGTGCCAAAACTGTGCAACACCTGCTGCTTAGGAGTTAAAAATAGACAGGACGGGGAGGAAGGGAGGAACAAGAGTTCTAAGGTATGTGCACTGAACAAATTCACTGCTCAAAGCACAGCGGTCAGAGCCCATTCAAGACGGAAGCCATGCAGCTAATGATGGTTGGGAAGGGTTTTACCTGACACAGCGGTGGCCGTGCAGCGCTGCGAGATGGTGCTGTTGTGCACAGGGAGCTGGGCCAAACAGCAAGGAGGACCCTGCACAAAGCAACAGCAGCAGACGGGGAAAAGGCACTGCTGTTGGCTGCAGGGAGGACGAGGGACAGGGAGAGAGCAAGTCTGCTGTTTTGCGTGGAAGGGCTTACGAAAGGGTCCCTGTGGATGGGGATAGCGTGAAGCAGGTTGCCATCTTGTGGAGATCCGCAGGGTAAGGGAAGGCACAGGGATCACTTTGAGAAAATGCAATGGTTTGGACAACTCTAAACTGCCAAGAGCCCATCTACACTCACTAGTCACAAACGCATCTCCTTCAGCCCTGCTTTGCCTCCCAAGAGCGTAGCTACAAGCACTTCATCCTGTATCAGGTGGGATCCCTCTGCTTCTCCTCAAGAATACCCCAAAATGCAAAGAAAAAAAATACAGGGGAAAAAAAAGGCAGATCTCCCCTCATACTGTGAGGACTGCCTAGAGCTCACCATTAATGTAAGTGGCCTTATGGCCCTCTGCCCACATTCATGGCATGCCCAAGAGCGGTCTTACACCTTACCTGAATGATAGTGGGGAGAACCAGCTCTGGGAATCCAATGCTGTAGGCCTGGCAATGGACATACTCAAGGATCAGGTCGTACAGCTGCTCAATGAGTCCATCCTGAGCAGGGGAAACAAGAAAGAGAGACATTGGGAGCTAAATCCTTCACCTCCCAGGTTGGGGAACGAGTCTCCAATGCTATGGAACAGAATCACAAAAACCATCTCTAAGGCAATTTTGTGCTGCTTATAGGGAAAGTTTTCTCCTGAGGGTTTGTGCTGCTGGCACTAAGGTTCCACTTACTCGGAAGGCTTTCTCCTGCAGGTTGGCATTAGAGAGCTTCAAAATCACCGCAAAGTTTATAGGTTTAGCGCTCATACGGCCGGGCTTCTTGTTGAAATCCACTTGCTGGAAAATCTGCCACAGAAGAAAGAGAGTTTAAAGATGATCACACCACAGAACAGGACAGGTGCCAACTGACTCTGAGAGTAGCTGTCCTTGGGTAGCAATGCTAAGGGGACAATGCAGAAACCCCAATCCCTGCCTGCCTGTTTGGATCATACCCCCCAGTCTTTCTTAGTGCCCTATTGAGAGATAGTTAAGGAGGAAACAAAAAGCACCCCTGAAGAGATCTGAGAACAAAAGATGCTATAGAAGTGTGAAGCAAAATGAAAAACACAACAGCACAAGAACTGAAAATCTATTCCTCAGCAGATCCACACTTCTAATTGTCAGAAAGATTGTACTAAAAGCTTAAGTATATTTTGGAGCTGTCCCTTAAGATGAGTTGCTTTTCTATGGAAAGACCAGGCATTACTTAAAGCAAATCTATTATCCCTTTTTTGTCAACGAAGGAATTGCCTGAATTCTCCCAGGCAGTAAAGGGACCAGCAAGTCCTTTTCACAAACACCCCTTGCCAAACAAGGCTTCTGTTAAACACATTTCCCCCTGCAGCCCCTTGTATCAGCTACACCTGAGCAGCCTTTATACAAAGACATTTTATCTTCTGTGGACACATCCAATTTTACAGCACGGGACGTGGGAGAAACTGCCCCTTTTCCAGGGTCTGAGAAGAGGCCACGCACACCACTCAAAGTGAACATCAAGCACATTCAAGCTCTGGGTGCAGCTGGATACCCACTGTTCTGGTGCATAAATGTCAAATGACAGACCTGCAGTTCTGCTTTTGGGTTTCTCTACAGCATTCTTTAATAATTAAAACGGGGAGAACTGTATTTCTAAGAGAGAAGGTACAACACATACACACTACATAAAAGAAGAGGGAAAAAAAGGAAGTTTATACATAGGTGTGTGGCCAGCTCTCCAGGGTGACATCCCAAGGTTGGTCTTAATTAAGAAGTGCCATTACTGCCTTCAAACTTTACACAACGTAAGCAAGGCCAAAGACTCTGATCATCTTTCCCCTACTCCTCCTTTCTGTGAGGCGTTTCCCAGCTTTACTGGGCGGAGGACAGTGTGAATCGAGGAGAACTTTCCTTATGCACTTCCTAAAAAGGCCGCATCTAGAATTTCCCCACCTCAAAGGTACTCAGCTCTAGAATCCAGAACCTTTTTGCAGCTCAATCTTGCACAGGAAACCTCCTCCCTTCATCCTGTGCAGCACCACAACACTTGAGAGCAGAGCCCGAGCAGCCCAACAGCAGGGGAATGCAGCACACTGATTGCTAGATGATTAGGTGGGGGCAAAGAAGGTCGTTCAGGTCACACGGATGCCCCCAGGCCAGAAAAGCACAGAGATGACTATTGATTTTTTTGTATTTTATTCCTCGGCCCAGGTTGTCTGGGAGGGAGGGACAAGCTTGGTGCCTTGTGAAAGCAAAGAGCCCCAGCTCGCCTAGGGAATTGACGCTATAAACCTCGTTATGCACACTTATTTCTTTGGCCAAAAAAGCAATATTGATCCCCGAAGGTCGGATGCATTAAGGGAAATGGTGTCAGGCTCTGCGGGATCCTAATGTAACACTAGGTGAGCAGGGAAATGCAGCCAGAGGTCTGAAAACCTGCCTCCCAGGAGGGGCTAGGAGGGCTGTCAAAGCACGTGGCGGGGAGAAAAATCACATTTCTCAACCCAGTCCCAAGAAGGAGGAAGGAACTAACAGCCAGGCTGAAAGAGAGGGTGACACAGAGGGAGCCTGTGGCAGGTTGGAAAGGCAAAAGCGCATTCCAAATCCCTGGGGACTTCCGTTTCAGATACGCAGCTTCCTTCAAAGAGGCTCAAGTCACTTAAACAACACAGCAAAAATAAATAAATAAATAAATAGTCCTTTCTGAGCACGTCAAGGTTAACCTTCCTCCTCATCCTCGGCAGAAATTCATTTTAAATGGGCATAGCAAGTGTGCCCAGAGGGAGATTTCCACCTTGCTTAACGACACTTGCCTTGCAGGAAGCGAGCCACCAGGTCTCCTGTAGGGAAACCAGTGCCAGTCCCAAAATAACTGAAGCACGGAGAAAAAACAGAAAACGTCTGCAAATTAACAGGCCCTTCAAGGGGAAAAGCAATACATAAAGCTCACAAATGTCACAAACCCGCGTGATGGGATCAGAAGCGGTCGGGAGCTTACGGATGCTGGGGAAAAGCTCAGTGTGGGGAGTGGTAACATCTGGCTGGAGCCTGACACACCAATTGGAGTCAAAGTGTCAGGGGTCAGAACACAAAAATGGGGGGAAAGCTCTGAAAGGGAAAGGTTTCAAGTCTCAGAGCATAAAAACTGTTCTACCTGCAAGCCCCACTATCTCGCAATATGTAAAGGAGATGTTTCTGTCACTAAATCTGCCTGGCAGAATGTCAAGTATGAACGAGTAAGAGGAAGGAAGCAGGCAGAGGCACACGGGCCAGGGAGCAGCAGCAGCAGGCAGAGGACAGGCAGGAGGAGATTTATAAACATCACTGGCTTCCACAGACTTGGAGGATGTGGTTTGCAAAGGACATTTACAACAACATAAAACCACAGAAGCCTCTGCTTCAACAGAACCCAATTAGGGACGAGCCTGGCTGGCTCAAGCCATTTAATACAGCAGTCTCCCTCACCCCTCCTCTCCTAACCTCCAGCCTCGTGCTGTACATTTACATCACAGAAAAACAACTCTGACTATTTAAGGATGGAAACACATTCGTTGTCAACATTCTCTTGCAATGAATGTTGCCTTCTTCCCAAGATTTTCACATTCACTTAGGTATTTGGTGCCAGAGTTCTAGAAAAGCCTTTTTTTTGCACCCAGCTATCTCAGATACTCTTACTTCCCAGGCCAGTAAAAGTTAATCCTATTTACTAACCCCACAGTACATCCTGCCTGATGGGGATTTTAGAGTGCCGAGCAAAGCAGGCAGCCTTGGGAGCTCTTGGTGCCCAGCGTGACGCCAGGCACCAGCTCCTGCTGCCTCGGCGGGCACTGACCAACCTCCAGGATGAACGGCAGGACGGGCACGAAGGTGCGGGTGTTTTCGGACAGCAGCGTAAGCGCTCGGATGCAGTGCATGCGCAGCGGGTAGAAACGAGGCGTGGGCACCAGCCTGGAGGGGAAAACAGAGGAAAGGACATTAGGCAAAGCTGAGAAAGGACCGAGTCCGTAGCCCTCGTACTTCAGAGGCCTTCTTGTTCTCTTTGCAGAACACAGGCAGCTCTTGCATAGCACAGGAGACTATTTGTGCTGCTCAAACTACCCAATAGTGGCAAACAATTTGCGCACATTGAAGGTGTAAGAGTTTAAAATGAGGTTTTCAGCTTCTGTACAGACTGCTGCAGCCTCCTCTGGCTTTGGGCTCTAATTGCTCCGCTTATATCCTATCTTCCAAGTGAATTAGATAGGAAAGAGCCTCGATTTTTAATCAACAGTGGCCAAAATTGCCCTGAAGTGGCTGTCATGTGAAATAGCCCCTATTATCATGAGAACACTGTCCTCAAGGCCCACAGCGTCTTGCCTGTCTTTGGACAAACAAGTGAGGACACGAGGCTTCATGCTGCAAGCGTGGAAGTTCATGCTCCAAAGTACGAGTCTGAGCAAAAAGAACATGCATTTTCCCCTGCTAACACATAATTAAATCATTAGCACATTAAAACATTAACATGTAATTAAATCATTTCAGAAGACTTTACCCACAGATCTTAAAGCTGAGGAAAGCTAATCTAGAGACAGTTTGACTGGAGTATCAGCAAGCTCTGTGGGCAAGCAGCATTGAAGAGAAGTGTAGACTGAGCTACCAAAAGTAACGAAATCAAAGCATCCAGGGTGGGGAAGCAGAGGGAGAAGTCCTCCAAAAAGAGGGATTTGCAAATTAAGCTCATCATCGATGCTGTTTTGTGATGCTGGACACTTCTGGATCCCAATAGAGGCAGGTAAGTGAGGAAAAGAGGCAGGAACCAGCAATAAAGAGGGGCCTCTTACAGTCTTCCCCATCCCAGCATTGCACTTGAGGATAACAAAGAAATGCTGCTAAATAATACAGAAAAACAGCATTTCTCCTACCTCCTTCAGAGAAGTCGCATGTACATTCACACTCCTCACCAAGAACGCTCTGTGTTGGAAAGCACTGACGCTTCCAACATGAACAAGGGTGGATTTCAAAAATGCAATTCCCAGAGAATAGCCCTGAATCTGATAAACAAACCCCCTCTCCTAAGGGAAAAAGAGCCTGCTGAGCTAGCCTGGCGAGAGAAACTGCCAGACCAGGCACCATAAATCACCCCCATCTCTTTCCCTCCTCCACCAAATAGCGAAATAATTATCACTGGATCCATTATAGAAATAAATCTACTTTGCACCCCTGATCTGGCACCACTGGAGATGACGAAAGCCTTCCTCAGGAATTAATTGATCACGGGATAAACCCGTTAAATGTATAGATTTACTGTAAACCAAGACTATTAATTTTAAGAGTGCTCCGCGACGCAACAATCTGCTCAACTTCCCCATGTCTGGGATGCACAAGGAATACAAAACAGAGCCAAGGGAGAGCAGACTGCCTAGTCACTCCAGGGCCTAGCCAGGGGCTTCCAAAAGCCCCCGCCTCGAATTTACAGCTTGGGCTTTTCATCTCCAAGGAGAGGGTTCTCCAATGTCTTGCAGCTCGTGTCCGTCAGAGCGCCGCTGCCCTACTTCTCTCGTGCAGCCAGGGCATATGCTACGGTGCAGAGAACAGCCTGAGGGCTTTCCAAGGATTATTTTTACTAGCTGCAGCTCCTTCTGTTCTGCTCCTGGCTAACCACGGCCTTCCTTCAGCTGGAGAGAAGAGAAAAAGGGTGTTTTTTGTTTTGTTTTAGCACTAAACTCTGCCCCAGTAAAATAAAGCGGTCAACGGGATCTGCTCAGGGATATTAGGACCTTCCTGGCATCCCTAAGAGGGGATTGGACCTGCTGGGAGGCCAGGGACTAACACCTAAGGTGCATCACAAATCCTCTTTTAACTATAACGCAGGCAGGGACTTGGATTATAGCTTGAACTGGGGACAGGTGGAAAAATCACCCAGGCAAGGTCAGAAAAACACTTCCCGTGGTGGCGGGCAGAGAGGGGTAACACGGAGCAGGAGCCTCTGCAGAGCTGCTGTGAATAGAAACACGAACTCGGACACCAGCAGACGGATCAAATTGAGGCACTTATGCGCTATGGAGACCAAGCAAAGCAGAAGGCAAAGCAAGGGACTTCATCTCCCTCTGCACTCTGGCATCTCTGCAATTTCTACAGTGCTGTCCCCACGGTCAAGGCAATTGCACACCTTCAGCTCTTTTGCTTCTCACAAAGCAATTCCATTAGCAAACTTGGAAAGCAGGCCCCACGGTGGCCCAAGATCGCAAAACAAAGAGTGAACTGGGCTAGTTAGGGACCTTGAGAAACCATCAGTTCCAGCACTACCCTGTTTAGTGGCCCCCAAACCACATCTTGAGCACGCACAGCTTGTGGAAACACAGGGACCATTTCTGAAACGTGTTACTTAAAATAATCCAGTTTTAAAACGCTCTGCATGCTGGAGAGCAACAGGGGAGAGCAAAAAAACTAGCAAGCTAATTTTGATTTTCACAGGCAACCCTCTGCCTATTAGTTATCTTGTAAAAGCACATTTCAAATTCCGCCTTTGTCCCTGCCTGGAGCAAAAAGCCTGGAACGGATGGTAATTTCTCCCCAGTTCCCTCCTGTGACAAGCCATGGTGGCACTGGGAGAGCAACCCCGCCTTGCACAGGGACACACAGGGCCCTGCCAGCCCCTTTGCTGGGAGCAAAGCGACACCTTCTGGTACAGGGGACACTCGGAGGAGGACAATCCTTCTGGATTGTGTTTGGGATGAGCAGGGCCTATTGCAGCCTGGTTTTGCCAATCCATCCCCCTCGCCCTTCAGGGGTCCCAATCTTACACATACAAAATTCAGTAGCTGCGTTTAGCCATGGGCTGAGTGAGCAGCATAAGCTGAAGATGCCTAGAGGCAGTCTACAGCGCAGCATAAATAACCTAAATTCTCAGGCAAATCCTGCAACATTCACTTATCACCCAGCAGAGTGTGGCAGGTAAAGAAATGCCCGATGCCTTGCTGAAAGCCCTGCGAGATGGTGGCCCTTCCTACTAGAGAAGAAATCATGAGTCAACCCCACACGATCTATAGATGTCACATCCTCTTGAATTCCTCTGTAGCTCCATTTCTAAGAGAGTCTAAAATGACCCCATAAAAATGACAACAGAGAAGATGAGACCTAGCTGGGTACTTCATTTTTTTTTTTTGTGCCCCTTCCTGTCCCCAATCTGCTCATCTACCTACCCCCTTTTTATAGCCTTTTTCTTAGCACAGAAGCCAGCCTGGGCATCTACTTCTATTTTTCCTCACCCTGAAGCCCATCCTGCTGGGCTCACAAACCTCTTAAGTTTGGTCAGCTGGTCATTGTGCTTCATGCCAAGCATCCCTGTACAGATGCCAACAAATTCCACTTGCTGCCGCTGCCGAGCCTCACCCAGTTCACCTTTCCTTGGCCCCAGTTAGCTGATTTATCTGCCCAGACAGGTGGAAAACTGCCTAGACTTGTCCGTAGGACAATTAAAGCTCTGCAACAGCAGCAGGAAGCAGCCTGTGCAGAGGGGGGCTGGGGAAAGGGATGTACACACACTCTAACCATCATTTAAACCTTCTTATCTTCATCACCATTTGGAGCCTAAGAGCAGGCGGGTGGTGTTTGAAAGCCGAGAATCTAGTTACAAAGCTAACAGGATTTCAGAGATCACCAGAGATGCAGCAATTCCCTTTATGCCCATTAGCAATAGTGGTCTCAAAGCACTGGAGTTTCATATACAAACACACAAACTAATGGAAAGCAAGCTAGAAATTCTCAGCAGAGGCCGACTAAAAAGAGCAGACATATCCCCAGCTCTTCAGCTTCTAAGAAATACATGTGTGCACAAACTCAGGCACAGAAATAAACATCTAACTACTCTTTCAGAGCTGGAGATGAGAACTTGATTCTGTTCTTCACTCCTATCACTTGGAAAGCCCTAAGGCAAATCAGTACTTTTCTTCCCTACCCTGCACACTCCTGCACGCTGCACAGTTACTGGAAGGTATTAAAGGTTTATCTCCCAACTTGGTCATCTCATTACATACACACTATGAGGATGGGTTCCCATTTTAACCCCTGGAAGAGATTCCAATGGTGTGTGTTCCTGGAGACACAGCTCTTCAGCCCACGATCTCAGCTACTGAATCAATTCCGTCATATCAAACTGTTAGTGGAGGCAAGTAGGCATTGCCAAGACAAAAATAAATAAATAAAAATAAAAAAAAGTCCTACTTACTTTATACAGCCAATGATGACCTGTGTCAAAGGATAAATTAAGGGCTCCATGACTTCACTGGGATAGATTGTGCTGAGAACTCGACACCAGAAATACAGGCAGTGGATATACTGCCAATTATAAACAGATTGGAAATTCTCCTGCAGAAAGAGGGAGAGAAACAAAGGTAAACCTGAAAGTCAGGCCTGTGAGCAGTTCACTTTTTTTTTTTTTTTCCCCCCTACCAGACTCCAATTTTAGCCCTCGTCATCCAAGAGGACAGGTTATAATGTTCAGAGAGGGAGAGAATATTCCAGCTATCCCTGGTCTCCCACAGACAGCAAGGCTGAAAGACACCTTTACAAAGAGAATCATCTGCCTTATGGACACCAGAGAGAAGGGGGGAGGAAAAAAGTATGTAAAGTTACGAGTGCAGATAGGAGAAATCTGGATGATTTGCCTGCAAACTTTGGTTGTTCTAACTTGCAGCTGCTGGTGCAAGTCCTGTGGTAGGGAATGAGACTGCTGCTGAACAAGACTCTCCTAGAAAGTCACTATTTGAGAGATGCATCAAGGTCTGTCCTCACCTTTCCCTGCACAATAGAGAAGCAAACTGTTCTTGTAACCCACCTTTCACAGCCACAATTTGCTCACTTTAAATTGGCTTCTTGCTGGGGTTTGGGCATTTTGGTCATGTTAATGTCATCTGAAGTCCCCACATCCCTCCCCAGCTGTGAAATCAAGGAGATTTAAGTCTTGTCTGGGCAAGGGCTGAAGGTGTAAGAAGCCAACGTGATCCAATTAAGGAATACGCAGCCCAGACTTAGTTTATCTCTGCTCAGTTTATCCCTATGTCTGAAGAGCCAGGAGATTTAGCTGGTCACCAATCTTGCAATGTTTGCATGTAGCCAGACCATTAATCTGTGGGGGTCTGTTTGATAAACATGAATAAAGCCAGGATTAGTAATCTCACTCAGTCTGGGCTGCTTTGTTCAGTGAAACCCTCCAAATAGCAGGGACAGGAAAATCAGCTACTGAGAAGATGGGGCAGATGCACCAGGGGAATTGCACATCACAGGCACTCAGAAGACTGACTTTGTAGTCATCACGGAAAGCCTCACACTGCTGTAATTTTCCCTTCTCCACATATTTCCCACAAAAGCCCTGGTGGGCTCCTACCTTCTTCTTTATGGTCATGGCACTCCGCAGGTGGATGGCAAGCTGACGGATGTAGATGAAGGCGTGCTGGTAGGAGGCATGTGTATCCAGGGCATACAGCTCTGTCAGTGTGCGCTGCATGAAGTTGATCATGGGCAGGACATTGGGGGATGTGAATCTGGAATTCTTCACAAACGCAATGTACATTTGCTGGGGGAAAAAGAGGACAAGACACAACCTCATAAAACAGCTGCAACTAGAACAATCTTTCACCAGCCTTCTCCTCCTCAAGTATTACAAAGCTACGAAACCAGTGTTACTTATACAAGTTTTTTGAAGGTACAGACAAAAATAACTGAGACCCTCCAGCAGGAACAGCTGTGAGAACATGAAGGATCTCACTCTTCAGACTCGCACATAATTTCTTCCCTGTATTATCTTCTGGGTGTAGCCAGCATTACCTCTAGTACCTGCCCTGCCTTGCAGGCTACATCTTGTAGCCTAAGGCATTCGCATATCACCTGGGAAAGAAGAGTTGCAGAAAAAAAGGCAAGTACCAGGCTCACCTTGAGCAAAGGACTTAGGTACATGTCCTTCTTGTGGCGGCAGAGCTTGTTCAGCACTAGGAAGGCCAATACTCTTACTGTTTCCTCACCTGTGCTCCACAGATGAATTGTTTGCTGGAAAGGAAAAGAAGATGCAGATAAGTGAAGGAGAAAAAGTCTTTCCTCATAACAGGAGACTGACACAAAACCACAGGGGAAGAGGAAGGTGATGAGAACAGACGATTGTTGTCATGGAATACACAAGAGAAATTCATACTCTAGATGGGAGACCACACAAAAGGTTAAGGCCAGTGTTCCCACGACGAGTACAGAGGGAAATGTCCAAAGTTAGCACCTCTGAGAACGCACACATCTGGCTTTACACACCCAAGCACGGATTTAAGCTTTTGGCTATAGATGTGAGCCTTGGCATCTGCTCCAATCTCCTAGGCTTTGAAAACATTCCTTTTCTATTCCTAGAAGACAACACACTAAAACCTTGGGGCAGTAATTCCTTTAATCCTAGGGATGTTATCCGGATGTCTCCCACTAACTGCACAGGATACACGCAACACCTAAGGCACAACCAACTTGAGTAACTGCCCACCAGGAGTCATACTGCAATTCTGGACATGAATACCATACTCCAGTCTCTCTAACAAAGCTCCTAAAGATAAGCCCTGATCTCCCCTGAACAGAATCAAGTGTGCTTTCTGGATTTACTTATTTTCCTTGGCACTTAAGCTAATTAGTTCTGATTTGCTATCTCCACTAATGAGCTCTAGAGAACTTAGAAGATTCTGGCTACACTGCAGGGCTGGACATACCTTCCTACTGTAACACTTAGCAAAGACCTTTAGATATAAGGCATAGGTCTCTCTCATCATTTTATGCTAACCATCATTAGTGTCAAAGGATTCCCGTATTAATCTAAATGTTGTGCTGCTGCCCTTCACTTAAATGTCATCCTGCTGCCCTCTTCTGCTCCTCCACGCCTCTCTGCTTTGTTGTTCTTAAGCACTCAACAGCTGTGACTAAACTGCCGCAAATATTCCACGCCCAGTTCCTGACGGTGAAATATTATCACAGATGTATACCCAGGCTCAGCATACAAGCAGCAATTTCTCCATCTGGGATGAGCAGAGAGACAGCTTCCCCAGAACACCTCCACGTCACTCTGCAGAGGGACTAGCAGCAACTACATGCAGAGCCACATGCCCACTCCCCTCACCTCACTGAGGGGAGGCACGTGGCACCCAGAAGGCCTAAGAGGCATCAATCCTTTCTGGGATCGAAGGAAAAGCAAGGGAAGAGGGTTTCACGACACTGGAGTGTCATGCAAATTAGCCCAAACACCACAAGAGATTAATGTGAAAGGGTAGAGGAAATACCTCCGATCTAAGATCACCTCACCTTACCTTGAGAAGCATACGGCACTGCTTTGGAAAGGACAAGTAGTAAGGAACGATGGAGTTAACGTGCTGAAGGACGGCTGCTCCGACAGAGGCTTCTGTTAAACAAGACAGCAGCTATGGGGAAAGCAAAACACGACACCAGTCAGTCTGTAATCCCCATCACCTCTGCTTTTTCAAGTACTTCCATGGTACCAAAAGCCTGGAGAGGCACCCCTCCCCATAAGTGAGCCCAAACAAGTCTCCATCAATATCAGGAACGAAACAGGCTCACTGCAGGCTAATTAAATTGCAGGCTAAACCTGCAAGTTGCAGGTGCCCAAGGCACAAAACCTTAACAAGATGCAGTGCAAAGCAGCAGCCTTTGCAGGCGAATCTTACTTTCCACTACAGCGAAAGCCTCAGAAACAAGAGCTAAAGTCCCAGTTCCACAGTGACCAAGAAGTCATCCTGAAACTGGAGTAACTGCTTCTTCAAGAGCACCTGAGGCTACAAACACCATTTTCTAGTTCAACTGTCTTCTTGATGGTCATGCTCTACTTTTAGTCAGGGTGTTGGCAGATGCAAAAAGCCACCACATCTTAAATAAAAGCCCAGTTATGCACAGGGTGAAAGTGTAAACACCCTCAGGTTTCTTACTTGGATGGTGCAGCTCAGGTATACTTTTATATCCAGTCGCAGCTTGCTCCAAAGTGGGCTGGTAGAAGGGAGGACCATTCTAAAAATTAAAACAAAAAAAAAAAAAAAATAGAAAAGAAAATGTAACAAAAAAAATGAAAGACTTCAGCATGGTGAATTCACCTCCTTGCTATGGCCACAGAGCTCACCACCAGATGGGAACTCACAGTTTAGTTCAACCTTCCTTTCAGCTGCAACAGGGAAATCAGGAATAACTGCCCTGGAGCAAAAAATATTTTTGAAAGATTGACTTTTTTTTTCCCACTTTCTCAGATAGGTTTCAAGGCTGAACAAGCCCAAGCAGTACACTCTCACCTGCCGTTCTCAGATCCCCTCAGACTTACTTTAGTTTGCTTTTTGGGGTTTTAAACAGGAGAAGTTGCTGCAGGCAGCTGAATAGGTCCCGGATGCAGAACGACACCAAGGCATTGAACACTGGTTTAAAATAATAACAATAATAACGTAAAATTAATCACTTGCAAGCTATTTTCCATTTATTCCTGGTTTCTCATCTAATCTGGAAGATCAGGAGCTAAAGCCAGCAACTCTTACAGCAGAACAAGGAAGTTCCCAAAAGCTTCCTTAAAATATCAGTTTGCCTTTTCCCTACAATTCTATCTGAATGACAGGATCACAACTGACAGTTTTCTGGAAAAGGAATCATCTTTTTGCCCTCTTAAGAAACAGCACAAGCCAGGACAGAAGTCCAACTCATGACTAGGAATGGATGGGTATTTTTTTCTTTAACAGTCACAGCAACAGACAAGCAAGTTCTGTGCAGCGCCTTGTACTGAACAAAGAAATTCTACAGAAAATAAAACCAAATGAGCCCTTTTTAGGGGCAAGAAAGGATTAAGGATGGCATGTGTTAAGTGCAGCCTGTAAAAGGAGAAGCCAACACCAGCCAGCACTTATCCTTGCTGCTTTCCAATAACCTAACCTTGCCCAGCAAGTGACTTCAGGTGTGGTAAACTCACCTGCAGCATCAGTAACTTGGAATTTGCTGGGATCAGCCCCACCGTCATCACCTTTGGTGGTTGCTACAGCCGCTTTAAAGGCTTGAGTGATTTCATGGAAGAGTTTTGGTGTTAATCGCCTCTGGAGAAAGAGGAAAATGGATTACAGAAGAGGAAAAAGCAAGCAATATTCTATAACTATGAGGCACTTAACTAGAACAGGAGCAGGGAAATATATTTTAACTTTGATTGCAAATTAACTCCATCTTTTAATGGGTAGGAAAAATATCAAAAAAAAGTGTTAACAACCGCTAGCAGCTTTCACTTGCTCTAAAACAGATTTTAAAATTTGTAACTGGTGGGAGGTTGAAAAGCACTGACTTGGCTGTAAGCAATTCCCACTTTTACCTTATATTCCCTATCCCAGTCAGGAGCAGCAAGTGTCCCAATACTGCTCTAACGGGACTCTAAAAAGCTCTCGGGTGCAAGCAATGGGATGAGCAAACAGAAATGGAATAATTCTGACTCTTCTGAGTCACTTGAGTTTTTGTAGCCTCTCCCTCACATGGAGTGCGGAAATTCCATGTGTGCCCAAACACAAACTGCAGAGACAAGTCATATTAAAGTAGCAAAATTACTTTGAAGATAACTTTACATCCCCTTCTCTTAAACAGGAATGTAAGAATAAACTAAAAGTTTACCATAAACCTTAAAGAATAAACCAAAAGTTGCTCTTTTAAAGCTCATGGTAGATTTTGAACAGTGTCTTAGAACACACAAATGCCTTGTGTTCCATCTTTGTGCTTACTTCAGCAGCCTTTTTCCAACTTTCAACCATTTTCATGCTCACAGGGATGAAATCAACTTTCTTCTTTTTAACTGCCGTGCGTTCTTCTTCTTCTTCTTCTTCATCTTCTTCTTCTTCATCATCGCTTGCTTCCTAGAGAAGTTAACAACACTGAGAAAGGTTCTTTTTTACACCCATTTATTACACCGAATAGCAACTGATGGTACTTGTGGGCTCCAAGAAAGGCAGTTAATTCTACTCAGGCTGTTCTCAACCCTATAACGCAGCAACAAAAAAAGATGGATTTTATGTTAAAAAGAAAAAAACCACACCACGCCTGCTACTTTGCTCTATAAATACAACGTGCAATAACCAAAATGTTAAGGAGAAAGCATACCCCTGGAAGCAAAAGAACTTATAATTAGGAAACGAGATAAGATAGAGCCATGAGGAAATAATAACACTCCAAGGCTTTTCCTTTGGTATTAAACATGCTCGGTTCGGATCCAAAGCTGACTTTGGGACTGCCCGCACTGCTGCAGCTCATTAGACTGCGGCCTAACTAGGGCGGCCCCTCCGGAGCCGGTTTAGGCCCAAACAGACCCAGTTCTTGCGCAGCTGAGCACCTCACGTGGCTGCAACCACCAGGCCGCTACCTCCAGCGTGTCGGGGGGCACGTGCACCCCTCCGTCCTCCTCCTCCTCCGAGCTGTCCGAAGCGTCGAAATTGAGCAGCGCGCGGTCGTTCTCCTCCAAGTACTTATAAAACTCGGGATCCTTGTCCTTGAGCCGCGACAGCTGGTCCTTGTGCTCCGACGCCTTCCCCTTCCTCCTGCGGGACAAGGAGCAGCGCGTGCTCGGGGGGCCGCGGCTCCCACCCACGGGGGGTCCCTGGGGCCGCGGCTCCCACCCACGGGGGGTCCCTGGGGCCGCCCCCACCACCCAGGGGACCCCGGGGGGGCGACGCGGCCCTGGGGGGCTCCAACGGGCGGCCCCCTCCTCACCTCCCGCCGGCGGCCGCCATGCCGCCGCCTCGCGCGCGCGCGCCGCTTCCGCTCCCAGCAGCCCCCGCGGCGCGCAGGGCGGGCGCGGCGGGGCCGGGGCGGGGGGGGCGCCGCGCCCGCCCCCATCGCGGCCCCGAGCGGGGCGGAGCGGCCCCGGCCCGGGGGGTTATTCCGGGTGAGGGAGGAGCCGCCGCGGCCCCCGCTCGCAGCATCGCCGAGAGCCGTGAGTAGCCGGCGGGATGCGGTTCCCGTTATCCCGCGCATCCTTCCCCACGGCGGGAGGGGGGGGGAGCGCCTGGAGCCCCCGCCCGCTGCCGCCTCACGGAGCCCGTTAGCGAAGGGAAGCGCAGCCCCTTGGAGCGACCCGGGATGGAGCGGGGCGAACCGGGAGGCTCCGGCCTCCGCGGAGCCCGGCGGGCTCACCCGCCCTGAGGGAGGATCCAGCAGGAGGAGGGTCCTGCGGGCTCCCCTGCTCCTGCAGGGATCCCACGGGGATCCTTAGGGAACCGCGCGTCCCACGCAGCATCCTGGATCCGGCCGCATCCTGGATCCGGCCGCATCCTGGATCCGGCCGCATCCTGGATCCGGCCGCATCCTGGATCCGGCAGCATCCCACTGGGTGCCCAAGGGGCGCCACGGGGGGCCCGTGGCATCCCCGGAGACCCCCCTGGAGGGCACAGGCCCTGTCATTTTTATGATGTGCCCCCCTCCTGGCGCGGCCGCCGGGTCCCGCCGCCGGATTCCGCGTTCACCCTTCTCCTCCGCGCTGCGTCACGCGGAGCCCGGCCGTGCCCGTCGCCCCGGTCTCGGTGCCAGGCGAGCGGTGACGACCCGTTCTGGGCCGCCCGCTGCCGCCTATTGCACAGCAGGCAAGTAAAAGGCGCGATCCCCCTTGGAGTGGCTGCTCCCGGAGGGTTTTGCAGCTCCCGGGCAAATCCGGGAGCTGGGAATATCGAGCTTTTCCCATACGGGCTGAGATTGGAGCATTCTGGTCCTTTCTCTGCTTACACGCCTGAAAACGCCTCGAGGATGGAGGTGTCTGTCACAGAGGGGCTAGGGGGAGATCGGGGCCACCGCAGTGATGGACAGGGCAACTGATGCTGCCAGCTATTGCTCTTAAATGTCTGCAGAGGGGGTTTGATGCCCGTCTGCAGAGGCTTGGCACTGTACGGACCACCGAGCAGCGCTGGGCATGGCAGTGTTTCCATCCCAGTGTCTGCTGGGGGCACTGGGCGGCTCCGACGGGGCCCACGTCTCTGGTCGCTGGCGGTGGGAAAGGGCTTTGGCTTTGGTGTGTTTGGGCTGAACTGGGGGGGCTGCCCTCGCATCCCGCTGCGGCTGGAGAGCTGCACCATTTTTGGTGCAAAACACCCCAGGTGGAGGCTGAACTGAAGGTGTGTGCTAGAGGCTCTTCTGAGCATAGGCTGGGCTAACAGGGCAACTTCATGCTGCCCTTCCAACAAGACAGCCAGGGAGAAGGGGGCAAGGCTTTAAGGAGAAATGCCCCCCAGCCTCCTGTGCCTGGGGACCGCCCGATTGCATCTCCAGTGGCAATCCTTCCGCAGAGGGGCTGCAATCTCTCGGGAGCTGCAAACCCTTTCGGCTGAGCTGCCCAAAGACCCTTGGCGGGTCGAGGTGCTGAACGTTCCCCCTCGCGTGGAGCCAGCGCCGCGGTGCTGTGGAGCTGCGTGCAGCTTTGCCCCGGCCTCCCCACCCCCTCGCCCGGCGCCACATCCTCGCTGGCAGCTTGTCTCTTCTCTGCAGATGTCTAGACGGGAGGATTCAGCGCGTGGCAGTTATGCCTAATTCATTAAAAAGGGGAAAAAAAAAATAGAAAACCTAATGTGAGCTGGGGTTTCTCAGCCCTGCAGACTCAGCTCCGCCTGTGCTGGTGCCCTGCGCTGCTCCGAGGCTGGCTGAGAGGGGATTAATCTCGCTGTTTGGCAGGCATGGCACGAGCTGTGCCCTCCTGCCTGCAGCGTGGGGCTTTGGGGAGCAGAAGGCAGATTTGTGGGCAGCAGGTGCTGCAGCTGAGCCTTTAATGGGGACTCTGCAGCTCCTTGGGGTAAAAATGGGAAGGGAGGAGCGTGGAGGGAAGCGTCTGAGGCTCACATGCATGCTCAGAATAACCATTTGTCCCTGCAGCTCTCCAGGCTTGTGCGTTCTGGATGCACTCATGTCTTCTGCCATATTCATCAGGAGCAGAGGGCTGCTAGGTGTCCGAGCCTTCACCCTGGGCTGTCTGAAGCTGCCAACCTCCTGCTCCTTCTGTCCCTGCTGATGCCTCTGAAGGCAGAGCTGGTGCTGGGAATGCCAGCCCCTTTTGTCCCAGGTTGCATTCAAGTCCTATTTGAGTCAGCGCTTGCTCTCCTTGCCTCTCTATAGGTGATCCTGTGCTAGCAGGGACTGCATCTGCAGCTTCAAGCAGCTCCTTCAGTTGCTTTTGCTGCGTGGCTGTGTTGCCTGGCATCTAGCTGTGAGCAGCAGAAGAAATCAAAGGCTTCTTGCAGCACAGGGTGTGTTTTGGAGGATGTGAGGCTGGCTGTGAAGCCAGCAAGGGGACAGGGCTTGCCATCCCCCAGGAGGTCCCTTTGCTTCCTCCCTCAGCACAGCGAGAGGCACATGACAAATTTAAGGAATTAAATTTGTCCAGGTAGGACTCTATGCCCTACTTGGAGTAGGGAATGTCACCTTCTCCACGGCAGGGACTGTCCCCCAACATCTGGCCAGCTGCACAGGATGTGTCATTGTGCTCTCCTCATCCAGCAGCCACAAAATCTCCATGTCAACAAAAGGCCATTTTCCGAGGTCTTCCTGGAGAAAGGGCAGGCTCTGAACCTTTCCCCGGAGGATCCTCTGTTCCTTGTTTATTGCTCAGAGCATTTCCTTTCAGTCTCAGCAAAATATGAGGGGTTTTTATGCAAAGAGAACAGACCTCCCTTTGGGCAGGGATCATTTGCATTAATTAACAGGGCTGTTATGCATGGCCATGCTCGGTCGCAGAGGAGCCAAACAAATGCCTTCTTTTTTTTTTTTCTCTTTTTTCTTCTTTTTTTTTTTTTTTTTTTACCATAACCTAGGAATTATTATAAGTCAGCCCCTGCATCCATGATAGCCGATGCACAGCACGTGCGCTCCCACTGCTGCATGCTCCACAAAACCAGGCTCGTGTTTACGGGAGCTCCGGACGCTGTTTTGCTGTCTCCCGTGGTACAGGCACTTCTGCCTGTTAATCCACCCGTAGCAGGGATGACAGACGTTCGTTTCCTGGGAAGGAAGGTCAGGAAATGCTCCGAGGTCCCGTCGGCAGCCGCCGAGCTGCAGGGCTGGCAGGTAGCGAGGAGGCCGCCGTTGGGCTGGCGTGGGGTGGTCGTGGGTTGTTTCTCCACTCGGATGCGTTGCAAGGGAAACGAATGTCATCCTGCTTGATCCTGCCCCCAAATTGTGCAGTGACTCAGTGGCAGGGCTGGGAAGAGAGCCCGGCACTCAGGACCCTTTGGAAACGCTGCAGCGGATGCGCTGGCATCGCAGTAACCTTGAGTCTCCTGTGCCCTCCGCTCGCTGCCAGGGCCCACGAGCCGCGTGGCATCCAGCACAGGGAGATCAATCCCGTTGTCTCCCTGCTTGTCCTGCCCTGCATCGCCCCAGTTACGTCCTGCTGCTCTGCCGAGCCCGGAGCTCCCATCAGGAGCGCGGGAGGGCAGCGGGAGCGCTCTGGATTTGAGCTCGGCATGACCAACATGCTGATGGGGAGGTGTGTGCCCAGCAGCATATTGAAAAGGGAAAAACAGCTCCATCAGGCCAGGAAAACCCTCAGGCTGGCAGCTGGGGATGGGATGAAGGAGGGTGAGCAGAGCCTGCTCTCCAGCGCTGAACCAGGCCTGGAGTTTGAGCTCTTGAGCCTGGGTAGAGATGCTAATAGTTATAAACTGCCTGTGTGCAGGCACCTCTCACGTGCCGCTGTCTGCAGTCGTTAATTAACGTAATTAACGTGCCTAGGGTGTCCTAGGAATGCGGCAGCTTTCCCACAAGCTCGACTGAGGGAGGAGGGAGAAGACCAGCTGCCTTGTGCCATCTTCCATCCTTCTGAGGGCGCAGCCGTTTCCCACTTTTCCTGCTGGAAAACGTTGGCAGCCCTTGCTCCTGTTGGGTCCCCGTGCGCCTTCCCCACTGAGGAATCCCGCATTGCTCGTGGGGATGCAAACAGGAGAGGGCATCGCAGGCCTCCCTCCCGTTCGGGAAAGCTGTTTACTCCTCTTTTTCCCTCCCTGTCCCTCTCCTATGTGCTACAACCACTATTTAAAAATGAACAGACGGCTCCGATCGCGCCGAGCAGGCCGGGGCTCCTATTTTTAGGCTGAGCCCGGCTGGCACCGTGTAGGTGTTGAGGAACACGGGGATTCTCCCGATGCGGGGGCCCCGAGTGCCGCATGCGGCCTCTGTTTTATCTCCTTTGAGCTGCCTCTTTTTCCTCCTCCTGCTGCGTGCTCTTTCTCTCCTCACTCGCCCACCTTTCCTTTGGGTGCTGCTGCCAGCCAGGGTGTCAAATGCCTTTCAAAACACAGCGAGTCACTTAGATACACACGGCGTGAAAGAGAAAGCGTCTTTGCACAACCTGGTACCTTGTTGAGGTGATGTTTGGTTTTCTTTTATTTCTTTTTCCTGCAAATGGTCTGTTTTACACTCCTGTCCCCTTCCCTGGACTCCACAGTGTGGAAGGGCTGGGTGTTTTTGCGCAGTTGTGCCCATGAACGTTCAGAAAGAGGCCTGAAAGGTAAAATGGCATGGACAGAGAAACGCCAGGTCTGAGGGATCCATACTGGGACTGTCCAACTCTGCTGGGGTTGCCTGGCCTGTGTGGGTGCAGGAAAGGTGACAAGGGTGTTACAGATCCCCTGACACCTTCTTGGAGCTGTGAGAGAAGAGCCAACACTTGTGAAAAACCCTTTGGCATCTTAGAGTACGGGATTCCCGGGTTATTTTTTATGCTTAGGCTAGCAGGGGCTGTCATATTTGCTGG